AGTTATAAAAAAAGAAAACAAACAAAGAAAGTAATATCTGTGAACTTTTTGGTTACTTTATACTTACAGTTGAACTAATGTGCATGACATGGGAATACCTCTCAATGTTCTTAAGCTTTTCGACCTTCACAGAACCGAATTTTGAAACCTGCACGTGCAGTTCGTGTAAGATTGACCATAGAATCAGTGTGGAAAATTTAAGGTGCCTAAAATCTGATGCAACCACAAAAAATGAACACATGTAAAGGACAATTAATCTAATGAAAGAATACACCCCAGCATCGAGCTAGATGGATGTTTCTCCATATGGTAGCTCTGCTACAACTACAACAATTGGTAGCAGCAGTAACAATGGCTAGGTCGCTTCTTGGCCATCTTTTGGAGTACCAAACAAACGATATTCTACTGTCAAACGTCCAATCCAGATAATTTATTAGAGAAAACATCCTAATTCAGAAGTGTGAAAGATAGACCCATAAGGGACTCTATTAATTATTCACTCCAAGGAATCTTATTGTTGAAAGTGAGTACAGCCAAAGCTTAAGAGATAAGTTAACATTAAGAAACATCCATGACAAAGGTACTTTGTTTTAATAATCAGATAAAGCATTCACTTACGACAGAAACTGGCAATATATATTTGGTATATAGCATACGACACAGATCTGCATTTATAGAAACAATAAAGTAATATAAGAAAATAAACTATGATTAAACAGATATAGACCTTCCCGACATCATTTCTTCCCAAGTCAACGAGCATTATATGCTCTGCAAGCTGCTTCGCATCATTTAAGAGCTCCTTCTGCAATATTAGATCCTCTTTTTCTGTTTTTCCTCTTCTAATGGTTCCAGCCAGGGGTCGATTGGTTATCTTGCCCTGACAATGTTAACAGAAACACAAATCCATAAATAAATTAATTAAATTACCAATAGTCTATTTAGTAACGTTCTTTCTTTCTTGTTCTTTAAGAAAGAAAAATAAGACTTTTGAGTGAATGTAAAAAAGAAATAGAAATGCGTTCAGTAATTATCTATTTTTTCTTGTTCTCTCAAATATTAAAGTGAACAAAAAGTTAAAACATAAATTTATTTGTGACAAATAAAATGTTAAAAAATTATGTTATATTTAGTTTTTAAATATCTATTATGCAAGTAAGAAATGATAAAATAATACTTTTATTTATGTATTTAGAAAAGTGAAAACATGAACCATAAGCAAAAAAAACTAGTTTTTGTTGTTACAAAATTTGTATACAATTTAGGGAATATTTCTTAAAAATTACAAAAAAACAAACATTTATCAAATGTTTATGTTACTCAACAATTTGAAAACAAGAAACAAAAAAGAAAAAATAGAAAGGTTACCAAACAACTTCCATACCCTACGACCCCAACACTATACCTGGACTATATATATTAAAGGCAATCCCACAGTCTCGTGCTCTTTTTTTATATTCGTGAGTGTTCAGCCCAATTTTCATGCACCTCGACTAATCTAATTGGACTGCCGCCTAACCCTACAATATTTGGTGTTGGGAAACATATAGGAATTAATTTCTAAGGTAGATGGCCATCATGGCTCATGCTCTAATGGGGATGGTACTTCTACCCTTGTGTTTTTTATTTCCTCGTCTCTCACACCTTTATGAAAAGAGGCTGCATTCTATGGCCTCTTTGTTGGACCCCCGAGGAATTCGAATTCCTCTATTTATCTGGGTCTATGTCGATCTTTGACTGACAGGGTATCGTTGGAGGCTGCTAATTTGCTTGTTTCTCTTGGGGAGCATTGGTTGTCTCAAGGGAGGAAGGACCTCCATCTTTGGTCCCCTAACTACTTGTTGTGTTTCCCTCTCATTCTTTTTTCTTTTGAATGGGCAAGTGCATCAAATAATTTCAAAGAAGATTATTTTTTATTATTGTTATTGTTGTTTTTCATAACTGTGAGTTAGAGCTTTGCTCTCCTATACTAGGGGACCTGCACCCACCCGAAGGTCAGGAACCGAGAGACATCAAGAGATTTTGGTATTAAGCTCACTAAAATATTCAAACTTGAGACCTCTAAGTCAATATGACCAAGAGACCCAAGATCTTTGGGGACAATAGATATTAAGTTCTTTACTTCCAAGTTTTGCTTAGTAAAGTTAATACCATAAATCGTATTGAAAGATTTTTTTCCTTTTTGCTGGGTCCCAATGGTGTATCCTTTGCAAGCATGCTTTTGAGGACCTCGACCATATTTAGTGGAGCTTCCGCCCATCTTTGGAGGTTGTTCTTGGCTTTTGTTAGGGAGTGCAGAGGGATGATGGAGGAGGTTTTGCTTTGCCCGATAGAGGGCCTTGCTGTAGCAGAATTGTACTGTTGCTATTTTGCGAGTTATTTTGATTGAGAGGAATAGTAAAATTTTTAGGGGTGGTCTTTAGAGGATATTTGGAACCTTATTAGATTTAATATCTCTTTGTGGGTGTCAATTTCTAAAGCTTTTTGTAAGTACCAGCTGGGTATGATCCTTTTGGATTGGGGTCCCCCTTCTAGTAGGGAGTTTCCCTTTTTGTTGGTTTTTTTTTCTTTTCTTTCGTTTTATGTATGTCTCTCATATATTCTTTGATTTTTTTTCCTCAATGAAAGCCCAATTTCACATAAAAAGAGTGTTTTATTTATATATTAAAGTGCAAAATTCATTTTTAGTCCCAGATTTTTGGAGCTCGCGCTCATTTGGTTCCTAAAGTCTCACAAAGAACATTTTAGTCCCTAAGTTTGAAAAATAGTTCTAAATGGTCCTTAAGCTCATGGTTTAGTTGTTGACTGTATTTTCTAATGTGGTGAAAAAAATTATTTTAATATTTATTTTTGATGACTGGACTTCATCTTTCTTCTTCCCTATTCTCCTTCTGTTCTCCAACCTTCCCTCCTTCGACAAAGCTCGATGATGCAGTCATTTCACTAGCCATTGCTTTGTTCCTCACTCGTACCTCATTCGTCATCTCCCTAAACGATCTGCAACGCACCAAATTTGCTCCACCATATTTGAAACGTTATACCACCTCTATTTGAGGCTATCTTCTCCCTCGTCACAGATCGTTGGTGCCGCTACCATCTTGTTTCTGCATAGGAGGAATGAGCAAATTTCAGATCTAGACCTATTTGCTCTAGATATGGAACGAAGATTCCTCGTTCCACATTGTTCCAAATCTAGAATGAAAATAAATTTCAGATCTGGACATATT